AATACAAGCAAAACGCAATTTCCTGATGCGGGTAACATTTGATGTTGCTCATGCTTCAAAGTCCGAATAGAAGGTGATGAAGATAACAAAGGCTAGAAATGAAGAGCAACGATTGTATGTGAGTAGAACAAAAATGAAAAAAATTCGGGGAATACATATCAATTGAAATCGCATGTATTCCTGTGACCCGACGCGAATCCCGCTCCAAAGCCATAGAAATACTTTAAACTAACGAGTGGGACGCTTGACCCGTTTTTATTTTCATGCTTTGTGGGAATGCGCGGCCTCCGAGGAATATTGCAGAAGCCAGGCAGATGTTTTGATTTGCTGTCTCGTCATATTTCGATCCTTATTTTGCAGCACCTAACAATGTTATCCGCATCAGGAAATCGCGTTTTACTTGTACTCCAAAGCGCAATTACAGGACTTCGCAAAGTGCCAAGAGAGCCGCACGCGACCTCGCGCAAACGACGGGTGTTAGCATGAACGGGAGTTTGCGCCGCAAAAGATGGGCCGGAGCCAAGAAGGAATTTGGCGTTTTCAGGTCGTATCTCCATTCCTCGCATATTTCGACAGCTGAGGACTGTTACACACACACACACACACACACACACACACACACACACACACACACACACACACACACACACACACACACACACACACACACACACACACACACACACACACACACACACACACACACACACACACACACACACACACACACACACACACACACACACACACACACACACACACACACACACACACACACACACACACACACACACACACACACACACACACACACACACACACACACACACACACACACACACACACACACACACACACACACACACACACACACACACACACACACACACACACACACACACACACACACACACACACACACACACACACACACACACACACACACACACACACACACACACACACACACACACACACACACACACACACACACACACACACACACACACACACACACACACACACACACACACACAGACAAACTTCGTATAGCATATGTCTTTAATTCAATAGAGAAGAAAAAAAACTCCCGAAGTGCCCATGATAGGACCTACCGACGATGCGTGAATGCTGTGATTCCATACAACGAAATAATCCGAACACTGTTATTTCTGCGAATATCACGAATCTAGATAACTTTGTTTTCGAGAGATTCTCCGTTTCTGAAGCGTTCTTCGAATCGGGGTTTGTGATTGCAGATGACAGGCTGCTGGTTGAGGGGGGGAGGCTTGCCGCACTATTGCAATTTTGTTTTCCTTCATTGCCCCTTCTGGATAACCTTCTATCTCAGATACCAATAAATTTAGGTTGCTATAAATTTATTTGTAAATACGCCTCTTCTGCTAAGCACGTTCGATTTTAGCACGAAACCTGAGTCCCATTCTGCGGCCGGTCATCAAAATATCGACGTCTTCTGCCGATGCTCCTAGCAGACGGACAGCACTTTGACTCGGCTGAAACAGATGGTTAGAATTTCATTTTGAAGACATAGATATGATAAAGTGGGCGTGAAACTAAGGATGCCCATTACGCAGTGTATGTACGCTTAGCTTCTGACAATGTTTCACTTGAAGTGACTCACAATCAGCAAACCACCCGGGAATGGGGCCCTTCCCCTGAGTGCGGCTTCACCCGCAGATTTCTCGCCAGCCGCTCGCTTTTCTTCATACGACTGCGCTTCGGTTTGTACAACATGCGAAGAGCAGCGTTAGCATGATGAGAGCCGGCCACCGTAACAGCTAGTTTTTTTTACCCAAAATTAATCGCCAAAATAAGGGCCCAGTTCGCGCACTTTCGAGCTTTCAGTATACTTTATGCTTCATCTGGCGCTCCAGTCGCACCAGCTCCGCCTCTAACACCGACCACAGGGAACATCAACGTGCCCGCTGTTTTTGAATATTTTTGACAAATGTAGTCAAGCTTTGAATGTTTGCGAATAATGTACGAAGTGCGGATGTGCTATGATCTTCGATGCATCGTTGGCCAATTACGCATAAATCAAAGGAGGAGCGGAAAATCATTGTGACAAACATATCACCTCGAGTGACACCATCACAGCTTCAGTCGTTCTTCTCAAAATTCGGAAAGGTATGTTGCATTCCATTTTTGACCCAAAGCTTATGAAATTTTGATTACCTTACACTGCTGTAATGATGGAACCCACTTACGCCGGCTCAGCAATCATCCAGCTCATCTTTCAGCTTAACACCTTCTTCTTGAGAACCAGGGATAGCTTATTTTCTACTTCTACAAAGAGACCAGCATTTCCGTACAGTTATCCAACGTGCTATTGGGTCAATTCTGAAATTAAATTATACCCTAGTTCGCTGCGGACGCTTGGGCGTCTCCGGCAGTTCATGCGACAACCAGTGGTAGAAAACGAATAATACAGACGACATGATACAGTCTTGTCTTTTGCTAACAACTCTAGCGAACGGGTTTGGCACCGCGCCAAACTCGTTCTCTAGCATGACGCGTCCAACCGTCCGCAGCGAACTATACTGTATAAAGCTTCCGGCCTGGTTCGATATATGCATCGAGATCGCTTCATTCCATTTCCATTTGAAATCGGTAGTTGCTTATTTTACGCGACATGGCCCATACAATGATTTGCGGAAGCAGGCGATGTCAATGTTTTTATTCCCAGACGAATCTGTTACCAATTTACCATTCCCGGAGGGTAGAAGGATTGGTTGGCCTGGCGAGAGTTCCCGGGATTTGGACCAGGAGGCGCGGCGGAGTGTAACACGCGCACTTGTCACGTACCACCTCGCCTCCTCTCGCTCTCCAATATTATACCACTAAAACGTGAACTTAGTACCCCGAACTATAAGCTGAGACGAACTGTTACCCATCTTGTTTTTAGGTGTCGCATTGCTCGCTGCCACGAGAAGACAGACGAACTTCTATGTTTGGCACGATGCCGAAGTTTCTGAAAAACTGTGGCACAGCGACTTTGACATTCAAGTGAGTTGATATATCGAGAATAGGTGCGTTCGTATTTATCGGCTGAAAATTTTACATCTAAAGTTAAGTGGCCTAAGTTTATTTTTGTTCTGTAACCGAGGTTTTAAGAAAGGCTGAGGATGCTGACAGAGCGAAAAATGCTGCACCTGAAGAGCTCAAATTTTATGATCAGTGTATGGTCGTGGCACCGGTCAGTTGCATTTCGATTTTAATTGTTTTACTTTATGACTTAGTCTTGGGTGTACTTACTACTACTGCTAAGTACCGCCTATGAGTATTCACCCTAGCTTTCTACTGTCTTTGGACAAAAACCAGTTTCATTACTTCCAGTGTCACAACTAATCGTGACTGTTTCGAAACTGCAAGGGAAAAATGAGGAAGAAATTACTTGTGTGGCGCATCATCATTTATGTCGCACAGGATGACACAGTATATGGGGGTCAGAGGTAAATATACTCGGGAGTTCCTCTAGGGGGTGAGTAGGGTGCTAACCTAGGAAATCATCGGAATGTGTGAAGTAGCCCTGTCAGTGTGACCGTCCCTCCTAAAAAGAGAGTCTTGGACGAGCTCCTTTCACAACGGATCGGTTCGACCTCTTTAGTCGCCCATACTGAGATTCCGTTCCCTTCCCTTATGAGCATAAGATCAGTAGTATCGTACGCCCCATCACAAAACCGTTGCTTTTGAGCCAAAAGTCGCGGCAAGGTGAAACAACTCCGTCATTAAGCTCGAAGCGAATTAGCAAGTGTTCGATCTATGAAGCCGCTTGGCTGCACCACTCTCAAACACGCGTCTAAAGGCCGTCGAGCTATGGTGGAACACACCGACGATTCAGCTGCTTGGACAACCTCACCACAGTTCAGGACTCCTTTTTCAGAGCCTAACCCTACAAGTTACGATCACGATCACCGTCGAACTCTTAGAAGGGAAATGTTTTGAAATTTGCCCATGTACTTTGGAGACCTAAGTACGGTCAATAGGTCTGCTGATTACAATATGCAGATTGAAGTGCGGAGGGGACCTCCGACGAGTTGCTGGTGTCAATTTGCGGAAAAATCAGTTCTTGGCTCGTACAGTGCTGCGATCGGATGAGACAGACCGTGACCCTGTGGCCAAGTTAGTAGCGTTCTCCGCTTAAAGGCAAAAATGCTTGTGGGCTTGCATTCCGTTTGCGCGACAGTTTTTGCTTCGTCTCCTATAAGAGCTTTTACTCTTATATTCGAAATTCTTCCTAGTTTACGACTTAGCAGAGCAAGTAGATCAAGTAGATCAAATATATGACATACTTGATCGGGTATGGATTTGGTCACTATCTGCCTTCTCTGAACTCATTACCCATAAGAGAGTTCGAAGTTTGGCCAAAACTCGTTCTAGGGTATTTCTGGACTACCCTGAAAGCGGATAATTATACATGTTTGGCGAGGAAAATGCATTTAGCCTTTCACGTTGTTGTGGTCATGAACTGAACGAGGGAACCGATCGTTTTCGCGCCAAACGGATGTGTACCCGTGCTCAGGGGGTCAAAATACCCCACCCCCTCCCCGAAACGACTTTCTGGTCAAATTGTGATTCTGGCCAAACTTCGAATAGTCGATGGTTGATGAGTTCAGAGAAGGGCACCAGTTGACAAATCCATACCTAATCGCAGGTACTAATATCTTGCTCTGCTGGCGTGACACGGAAGAATTCCAAAATTTGAGTTTGAAACTTTATAAGAGACGAGAGCAAAAACTTTCGCGAACAAGATTCAACCCACAACATTCTACCTTTCAAGCGAGATCCGTTACCTTGACACCGGTGGCGCTTGTCTGTCCATTCGATCAGCAGTCTACGAGCCAAATACGAGGTTTCGGCAAACTTGGCCACCCAGTAACTCGTACGGGGGCCAAGTTTGCCCCAAAAGACATGCAGATAAAAGCCCCCGTAGCCTTTAATCTGCACATAGGTTCGTAATCAGCACCGAAATGCCTATGACTTTACTTAGTTTCCCATTCAAATTTCCATGGGGAAGGTGAAAAACCATTCTTGGGTATCGTGAGCCAAACTTGTCGGTTTGACAAGTCCTGGAAATGAATGGGTAAGAAATAGTAACAAAATGGGAGGATTGAGACCAAAGTATAATGTAGATGCTCTGAGCCCCCACTTAACCCTCCTTCCTTACAAATAAAGTTTCGGTATGCTTGACGAACAAAGTGCCTTTTTGTGTCCCTCTGTGTGAAGGCCTGAATCCATCAGTATGCTGTTTATGGAGCTTGCCATAAATGAAATGATTTTGCCTGATTTCAGTATGTCTCGAGACGAAAAGGCACAAAAGGTGTGATACTTGCTGACGAAAGTAAAGGTATGGTAGTCCAACAAATTTTTAACTACCATGATTTTCTGACGCTGGAGCGCGTGCCATGAGAATGGTCCGCGTCTGTTCTGCACCTGGACATATTCACCCTTCGTATTCATGTTTAGACGAAACGTTTGATCTATCTCGTGCCTCTTCTAATCAGTCACTAGCTTCGACTACAATGTCAACGAGCGGCTTTGAGGTTAGAATTCTTCCGTTCTCAACAAATTTCTTCGCATGCCTACACGTGTGTCGTAAGCAACCTTATTCTTTGATCAGGTTGTTCAATGGACGACATTGCAGTGAACTGCGCTTGAAAGAATCGCTGCCTACTTACCAGTAAATGACACGATTCGTATGGAACGCGTTAGTAAGCGGTGTATGGAAGCGTCTATGAAGGTTTGTATCGAGAGAGTTTACGCAACCAAAACTTTGCAGAGTTTCCTGTGACATGTTTGAAATTGTCTTGAAATGGATTTTGCTCGTATATCAAATATCAACCTCCTACTAAAAAGGGGTGGGGCAATGGAGAGCGACGCCACCAACACCGATCAAAAGTACTTGAATGCACCCCTGCGCTCAGTTGGTGTTCAGACCCTTCTTTTGGACAAGATAGTCCCGCCTGCCGGTGGAGGGTTCGCTATTAGTTTTGCAGCTCAAAAACATGTGACGAAAGCGTTGCCCCCTTGCGGTGGATCCACAGCCCCGCCCACTGACGGTGACCCCAACCCCACATTTTAACTGATAAACTGATATGCGCGGGGTTGTTCCCTATAACTCTCTCCATTTCGAATTGATGAAGTGATAAGGATAAGGAGAAAGAAGAACTCGTACGACCACGCCTTTGTTTATGTTATGCAAGTACAAAGCGCGCGGTTCAGCGCAGGTTCTATATGGGGCATTTCCGGCGAATTTTCTGCCTTTTTCTCCACTAGTGGATCACTTACTACCTTTTCATTGGTATTTGGCTCGCACGACTCACCATTTCTTAAACACTGGGTGTGCCCCTTGAACTCTGGGTCATCTTCTTTTCTTGTATAACTCTCACGTTTTTCGTCTGTGAGGCGTGCTATCTGTTTTAGGCGGTAAAAGGCCAACTGTGCATGACATCCTCCAAGGAAAAATTTGATAAAAATCCAGATTTTTCCATTAGACTTAACTGAAAATTTGCAGTCATTGTGTCCTGAGTCGAGACTCGTTTGGCCAGAGATTGTGAGGGTTTCGGGAAGCATAATCCGTTTCGTAACTATCATCTCAAGGTGAGCTTTTTGTTCTTCTCAGTAGATCTAGTGTAACATTGATGTGTTAAAAGTTCATTTTCCGTAATTATACTTGAAGACTTCTGGTTCTATTTCTATTTCATTTTATTTTATCTGCCTGCTGTGATATCAGTAATTTAGTGTTACATTTAGTCCATACTAAGACGTGCTGGAGTTCATCTGAAATCGCTGGATATGAATGGCATAGTGCACTTGATGGATGAGAAGGCCCTGGAAATTATTGCAGCTAGCTGTCCAATATTGGAAGAGGTCCGCTCAAAAAGTCCATTTTTTTACTCAGGTCTCTGCGAAATGTTCTACTCACGGTGATGAATTTTTGATATAGTTGGATCTTACTCGGAGTTGGGCGTCAGTGGGAGGCCCTAGGTGATCTGGGCGAGTCGTTGACGAATTTGAAGAGGTTGACGTACAGGGACATGGACAACGCTTCGGACAAGGTTTACTAACGCTTGTTTCTGTGACTCTGCGTTGACTAGTCTCCTACAATTGGATTTTTTAGGCGTTCTGGTTCCTCATTAAGGACTGTGGTCGCGGACTGCGCAAAAAGGTTTTTCCCGTTGATCTGCTGTGGATGCTTCGATTACATGTAGTGTTTCCGATTGTTGAGCGAACGCTGGCGGGAACAGTGATTAAGTGCCGGATTCATCGTAGATGGTTGAGAAGTCTGAGGAAGAAAACTACGCACAAGTACGAGTTTCAGTTGTATCTGGACGGGTGTGTGCACGTGGACGAAAGAGCGCTGGAAGATCTGTGCACCTGTGCTGCTGGATTGAAAGAACTACGGCTCAACGATTGTTTTCAAATAACAGATGAGAATTTGAGGTGGGTTTTTCAAACTTCATGAACTGTGGAAAACTCATTGAGTATTTATGGCAGGTGTTCTGGGTTGTTAGTGCAAATTAGACTCGGCGAAAACTCGAACCCGCTTCTTCCCACGTAACGATGCGGAGGTGCACTATCGGGTAGCGCACTCTTCTGTCAAGCGGGAGGAACGGGTCGAGTCCATCAGCACGCGTTCGTCGCCCATGGCCAAATCCCGTTCTCCCTCAAAGACCACTAAGCCAACCTGGTGGCTCGTGATCGCTAATTATTAAGCAGTCTTTTCTGAGGGGATAAAAAACACTGGGGTGATTGCGACGGCAAAGGAACCATTTTATGACGTTATTAGTATACAGGTAATGAAAGTATGTCTGAATGGAATGAGAATGTAATTGACAGGCGTCCTTCTCACTGTTCACTTCACGGCTTTGAAGGATAAAAAGAATAGCAAAGTAGTTGGTCGAGTGAAGTGGCTAGAAGTTCTGGGCTTCGGCGCTACGCTTCGTGAGCAGTGTCCTGAACTACATCCACAACACCTTAGGGCGGTAACAGTGGAGTTATACTCGGACGGGAATGTGAGTACAAATTCAGTTTCGAACCATTAGGCTGCGTTCACACTTTGGGTCAGGGTTTTGAGGGACGGCCGCGAAAAGCTCAAAACTATCCGCGAGACGCTCAAAACGCAGGCGTACGCTAAAAACGCTGACGCAAAGTATGAACGCATTCAGAGGTTCTCAAGTGAATTTGACTTATTTCGATACGGTCTCCACATATCAGGGTTTTGCCCTAACCGGACTGTGGCTACAGAAGCGCATGGGAATGAGCGGGTCTAAGATACAAGACAAATAGAACTGAGGTGATAATACGATAATGCTGGCATAAGATTGCTTAGTATGAGATCATTCTGTTTTCACCAAAATATAGCGTTTCTCTTGGATTTTTAAAACCCCCTTCCCAATGAGTAGAATTCTGTAATCCTTCAGACGGACATGTGAAGTTCTACCGTCGTTTGAGTTCCGGTGAGAGGAGAGCCTCTGACGCTTAAAGTGATTGCGAATAATCCCTAAAAATTGTTGGACTAGGAAAAGTTGGTAATACGATGTTGCGATATTCCAGCATGATTTCTCGAATGTTGGTGGATTTGCGGGTGTTTACATTGTGCGGTGACCGTTTCGACAAACTTTCGTCAGCTGGTATGGCTCATATCAGTAATATGACGTTCATTGACGGAGTTAGCGTGAGTATTACCTCAATTTTGCAGGAAATATTTCAAGTTATTAATCGAAACGACAAATTTCGCGTTCGCAGAGAGGTATTTCAGCCTTGACTATAATGCACTGGTTGATGACAAGTTTTTGTTGTCAATCTGCAAAGAGTTGAAAAGCTTGAAAACGCTGAGTCTGTCGAATGCCGGCACCGATCAAACACTGACGGCAAAAGGACTGACCGCTATTGCACAATTGAAGGCGTTGGAACAGGTGGGTTTTTGCTTTTTTTCCCTTTCAAAATTTGGTTTGAATTCTTAATAAAGCTGTCATCAAGAAGGGATAAGTGTTTGTAATTTGCGTGTATTCCAACACGTGATCGGCTCATTTTCAGCTTGATCTCTCTTCACTTGCCGCTCTTCGATCGGGTGTTCTGCTCGAAATCGTCTTCTCATGCAGATCGATAACGCTTCTACAGCTGAGAAACTGCGTTTATTTATCTGATGACGGTATTAAAGGACTCACAAGGATCAAGGGCCTCCGACATGTGGACCTGAGTGGATCTATATTGGTGAGCAATTCTACGTATAGAGGCGTTCACACTCCATATTTCGACATTGGTGGGAATGTCCGGGGACTTAGTTGTGGGCGTGGCGGGGGCTACGTATTTGTGGATAGTTGCCCGTCCAAGAAAGGAAGTGCACCAAGTGGTGATGAAAGTTTCTTATGCTGTTTGAGATCTCTTACGCACGCGTTCTCTCACGATTCCCCAATTAGTTGTGCGATATGGGCTGCATCTGGCTGAAACGGCAACGAATCTCCGACAGCGTGATTATACTGAGTCCGCAGACACTCCCTCTCGAGATATGAAGCACAATATTTGCAGAAGCGGCTTCGGTATCCAATTGAAGCAACATGCTGCTGGTGTCCAAACATGATGTTTCCCAGAAAAATGCTTTTTGTTCCATTAAGTAGTCCCGACGGATACCGTTCTTTTCCTGGCCAGTCAGTGCGCATTCAAAGCAATTTGACGAAAGAGCCTGTGACGATCTTACTAGGGAAGGTCATGAGGTTGAAGTGGCCATTTGTAATGAAACGTAGCTCACGGGACGTGGTTTTGGACGCTGATCTCAAATTGAAGCAACATACTGCTGGTGTTTAAGCATGATGTTTTCCAGAAAAAAAACTTGCTTTTTGTTCCATCAAGTAGTCCCGACGGATACCGTTCTTTTCCTGGCCAGTCAGTGCGCATTCCAAGCAATTTGACGAAAAAGCCTGTGACGATCTTTTACTAGGGAAGGTCGTCAGGTCGAAGTGGCCATTTGTAATGAAATGTAGCTCACGGGACGTGGTTTTGGACGCTGATCTCAAATCTGCCTTCGAAATTTGCAGAACGATTCTCTGAATGAATTGTGGAGCTTTTCTTCCCCGTCCACCACGCAAAAGGTCATGAAATCGGATCCTTGCTGAGCGTAACTTTTTTGCTTACTGCACGAACATAGCAAAAAAGTGGTTTTGGCGTCACTACTTCTTCAGTGCTCGCCTAAACTTGCCTGAAGAAAAGTTTGCTTGCAGTTACTGCTGCGCTGGGAAGCCTTGTGATCTAGAAGAAGACATGGGTATAAGGTGCCCTTCGTGCGCAGTATAGCTAAGCGAGTGTCATATTTGTGTTCTTCGGGTCGCACTACCTCCAGGCACAAGTTTCTAGCTTGATTTGGATTTTGACCTTACTTCGAAAAGTGAAGCAGCATCCACAATGGCAAGATGACGCCTTGCACAAGAGCTTGTAACCGTAGCTGAATAGTGTGGACATGAATTGAAGTGCACTACAGTTTAATTCTGTTACTGGCCAGTTTCCCGCATATTCCGTCCAAAGTCAAGCAATCGACAAGAGACTGGCCCTGGAACTGGATGACCATCATTCGATCAACTGCTGCCGCACTTTTCAAAGTTAGGTCAAAACCTCACATCTGGCTAGAAACCTGTCCCCAAGGGTAGTTTTGCTCCCTGAACACGAATATGACACCCATTTGGCGTTTGAGTGTTTTCTAGACTCAAAAGAGACATTCCGCACAACATGCAAAAAGTTGGCCTCCTCGGAACCCGAACTTCTATGGTACGCCTGTGAAGCAAGACCACGACCACCACCCACTTCGCGGCTATTCACGTAACTTGGCTGGCATCCTACTCGACTCTGTGCCCCTTTATTCGAACAAACCAAACCTTCATAATTCCGTTCTTCTGCGAATTTCGAAGACAGATTTGGAATCAACGTTCAAAAACACGTCCCGTGATGTACGTCCCGTTACAAATGGCCAACGTGGGGACCTTCCCTAGTTAGAAATGAGTCTGGCTAGTGAGAGATAGCAGTGATGCTGCGTGGGACTATAAAAAGCTTGTCCTCCTAGTACTTCACTTATATTCAAGTGTTTCAGATTACCAATGATTCGATACAAGAGTTCATCAAAGGGTTCCCACAAGTTAAAGGAGAGGTATGACTGAGAAATATATTGATTAGAAACTTTCAGCGATGAAAAATTATTTTGATTAGAAACCTTTGACCTTTGGAAAGATATTTGATGATGTGATTTTTGTGAGAGCGATTATTTAATAATTATTTTCTGTTCAGAATGGTGCAGTGACCATCGTCATAGGCGGAACGGCTGCCGATTCTTCACGTCTGTCGATGCGTGGCAGTCGTGTAGTCGTTGACCTGAGTGACTACACGTCCATACTCTCAGTGTCGTCACATAGGCGGTCTAATTCATTCAGGATAGGTACGCCAAATAGTTGTGTATGAGCCGAGTGTTTCACATGCTCTTAGGTTCTGAGGCAACCTTCCTCCGCTTATGCGCTCACGTCTTGCTTCTTCTTTCTTTTTTGATTGTTGAGCATTTTGCTGCGGTTCACTCGAGGACAGTGAAACTGGGTCTGATTTCAGGTAAACTTTCCTGGCAAGGCCAAAAGAAGTGGGAAAGTTCTCAAGAAGAGGGCAACTCAGAACGCGGTCTTGCATTGTGTGCTAGCGATAGCAATATAGCAATACAGAATATCTTTTTTGAAGGTCCTCTTCGACAACACATTGAAAACAACGAAAAATTCACTCATTATCATTTTCTCTCCCTATATTAGAGAACTAGTGAAATGTGGGCCTTAATTCGCAGTATGAGTGTTGGCTTAGATACAGCCAGAAATTTCTGCGTTACTTCAATTCCGCTTCCCTTCATTTCTGTGTGCTGCAAATGGATATGACCCTCAAATGTCTTCCTTGAAGGGTCCTGTTATCTATTAAAAGTTTGTGAGTCAAAGCTGCTCAACTGTTACAACCTAAAAATAATCTAAAAGTTATTTTCCTGAGAGTCGACGTGTAGGGATTAATTAGAGCCCTGATCACGAATATGGCACACATGTTCGAATACTACGCCGCAACTTTTGCTCATCGAGCCCGTCATGGACTCAGCGTCAGGAATAAACGTAAGAATCGTGACCAGCACCATAAATTACCTCCACTGATGAAGTTTTGGCGAACACCTTCCTTTGCCCTTTCCAGGTTGTACTATGAGATGGGAGTCCCGCCTGAACTCAAGACTTTTGCCCGTAACTCAGCATTCTTGTGAAAAAATGAAAAAAAATGAAAGTGAAACTCGTAACGTTTCGTAGATTTGTAGCTTTCGGACTTAACACGTCCAGTAAGTCGAATCGGAGTACAGAAAATGCTCATTTCTCAAGCAGAACAGCGCCCTTCTTTCCCTATCTAGATTGTAGAAGGAACTGCTCGAGGAGTACTATTCAGCGATAACCCGAATTATTCAGGTACATTATCGGATGATGAGCTATCAGACGATGACTTCGAAAATCTCACCACACAGCGTAAGCACTGCACATTATATTTTTCCTTTGTTAGGTACTGTAACAGGGCTGAAGAAGGAGTTATAGGGTCATTCTATATTGACGCCGTATGTGGCGAGGAAGAATCGCCGATTGAAGACGTAAACGAATTGCAACAGTGGGTGGAGAGAGAAGCACGAAACCTCGGACTACTCGAAAAATAAATAGTGTACAGGTATAGATAGGCATTGCAGGTGTAGGTGTGTAAAAATCTAACGATTGTAGCTCTGAATAGCTCGTTCTCTATGTCGCACCTGTTTTTGTAGTGATCTAGAGTTCGTAGGATATAGACTCTTTATTCAGTTAGATCGCACGTACCACTCTTACAGTACACGGTTGATGCTTTCTTTGAAGGAAATCTCTTGATGAATTGTCCTGCTGACGAGTATTCTGTAATTAGTGAACCATAACCAGTATTGCTAACTTTGCCAGCTGCAAGTTTCATGGAGAATTATGGTAAGCTCGAGTTGTAGCGAATAGCTTCGGCTACACATCACCTTTCGTTCGACAGCATTGTCGACCGTTTGCAGTCTCTGTAGTGAATCCGTTAGTCGTTTGTGACCAGCTGCAAATGCGAGCATGGATTTAGCCCGACTGCGTGGGTGTCGTTCAGCACATCCGAGCTGCGGCGAAGGCGGCAAAAGAGCTTCTACAAGGGGTCGTTACTAGACCCAGCTCACTCAAGAGCAGTGGGCACGATAACACGCTCTGGTTAGTACAGTGAAGCAAAAGGGGGCGAATTTGCTGAAAGCGCACAAAAGAGGGCCCTTGTTTACCGCTCAACGGCGTAGCCATTTGGCAGAATAATTTGGTACTCGGTTTAACATGTTAGCAGGGTGCTATATAAAGGGAAAATGGCAAAAAAAAACACATGAAACGGTCGAAAACTGCGAAGAAAACCCTTCGTTCTCAATGACTTAGGAAGCAACAGGACGAGTTTCCTACAGGCATCTTGCCTAACTCCTACGGTACGGGTCTACGGCCACTTGAACTTAGTTCCTTTTCCTTAAACGCGTCGAATTCGTGTTTTTCTTTGCTCTCTTCGTCCGCGTGGCACTCTATGGTCATTGTGGCTTCGCACATTCCAACCTTCAGTATATCAGTGGCTCACCCACTCAGGAATGCCATCTCCTTGAAAAAGCTCGTTTCCTGGCTCGCCATAGTTTCTTGCACGTCTCGATGCTTTGGCAGGCGCTGTCCTCTGTCTGTCTGCGTTTCTTGGTTTCGCAACAGGACCATGCACAAAAGTTCAAGATGTCAAGTAGGTACGGCTGCACCTGTGTACTCATTAACTCATGCGCTTCCGCTTCATATCAATCCCTTCGCTTCATATTTTACTTAGCAAATGAAGCAATACGAGCATCAGGTACGGTCGTCCATTTGTGGGCGGGCGGGCGTGGTGGGCGTCCGGGTCGGTATGTTGCAGCTTGATAGGGCTTTATAAGGATAACTTTCTTAGAAAAGGCGCTTGCGGAAGGGCGCGGATTTCCATCCTGCCAGGCGTATTAATCCTACTCGTCATAGGGAGTTAAATGCCAACTGCCTATAAGTCAGTTCATGGACGAGCATACGCCCAAGATGAGTTTGTGCTGTTCAACGATCAATGCGGAAAAACTGGCGAATGCAGGACATACTGACCTACATTATCATGAGGCACGAGTCGAAGATCACTGAAATCAAGTAAAAACAACAAAAAAAATGTATAGCCGGTCAGGCTAGTGAATAATCGGCTAATATGCGCGCGCTGCCGCGCCATGGATGCCATGAACTACACCTTTCCGCGGGAACAGGGCACGTCCATATTTCACGACTCCACCGCTAATCGTTTGACAGCTCCAACTGCTAATTTCAACAAAATGCTCCTGTTCACTGCAGCTGCCCAAAAATCAGCGGTGGGGATTGGTCGACCGCAGTGGTGCGATTCCCTCATTGTGAAGTATGAATAGTCGGTCTAGCCTCTTTTCCAGGTACTACATAGTAGGCCATTCATCATTGGCTATGTGAGTACTACTCGAGCTTAATCAAATTCCTCATTTATCCTTTGTACCTTCGCTTCTGCTAGGAAACCTGCAGCTCGGATACGATACCGCCCAATGCTATTACTGCTTTCCGAGTTATTGATGAGCTTTTATCTTCATGGGCA